AGTGGCAGAACGCACACGGATCTGGCGACCTCGGAACACAGTGTCATCCAGTTCTGCTTTCGCTATGTCTGCAAGAGTCTTTGTTTCCTAATGAGAAGAGAGCAGCAGGTCAGGGTTAATGTTGCATTGGTGCTTTGCTGTCTGAGAACCGAGACATGCATACATACATACATCATTGTAAAAAATAAAAACTTAAAAATGCACAAAATATGGTTTCTGCAGGTTTTATGAAGGTGAATTTAAGCTTTTGAAAGACCAAGTAAGAAAAATTTCAGGAACAAGTTGAATGGAACACAATATGTCAATATGGTCTCTAAACGTAAATGTCTTCTCTTGGCAATGCTTCAAAGCTGTAAAATATCACTTAAATTAAGAGAGATTCTTAAATCAAGATACATTTTCTTGAGAAGCAAAATGACGTCAAAGGGGAAAATAGTTTTCATACCAAGCTATCTGTTCTTGTTTTAAGCATAGTTTTTTTTAGAAAACAAGACTTCATATGTTCAATTTGCATCTTAAAGGGGTCATATGATGCGATTTCAATTTTTCCTTTCTCTTTGGAGTGTTACAAGCTCTTGGTGCATAAAGAAGATCTGTAAAGTAGCAAAGACTAAAGTCTCAAATCCAAAGAGATATTCTTTATAAAAGTTAAGAGTCAACCACACCTACCTAAAACGACTCGTTCTAACACACCCCCACATATCTACCTCACTATGTGGAAAGATTTGCATAACGCCGCTCAAATGTTCACGCAAAGAAAGAAGGCGTAACTTTTATTCTCGCTGTAGTATTGTTGTTGCCGTCGCCGCCATGTCGTGAAGGCACTGTGTGTTTCGTTGTGAAAGCAAAACTACTTTGTTTGGCCTTCCAAAAGAGGATGATATCGCTTCGTCATGCCTGAAGCTGATCCGTGCTGGTTGCTGAGGAAATATATCAACTTTGCGCTGTGGATCGCCGGATCAGCTTTCACTGTGGACGAAAAAGAGTAAAGCCTGGGGTCATCACATGTGGTTGCCGTAAGCCTCCTTCGTCGAATCCGCCGGCTGCGCCGTTCTCAAGCCCGCCGCCTCTGCTCACTCTGGCCCTCCGGCCATTCCTCGCTTTATCCCCCGGCCTCTGCTCACTCAAGGCCGCCGCCGCTCACTCTAGGCCGCCGTGTGTGACGCTGTGTTTCGTTGTGAAAGCGAAACTACTTAGTTTGGTCTTCCAAACATAACTAGAAATCAGTGGTTAAATTGTATTTACAACACTGTTCCAGAACACTTCAACCCAAATATTCAGATGTGTGCAGCGCATTTTATGGAGGACTGTTTCCTGATCCTGGTTGAGTAGACTACACTGCCGGCTGTTCTGACTCACAGACTGTAAGTAAGTTTTTTTATATTTTATATTTTTTATATTTAAAGCGAGTTTTTTGGGCAGTGTAGAGTAGGGCATGTTGTTTGTCATTTCATGGATAGCTGGCCAATCACAGCACACCTTGCTTTTCAGACAGATGAGCTTTGTAAAAATCGACTCGTTTCAGAAAGGCGGGGCATAGAGGAGCAACAATAATGTACAGTATGTGGAAAATAATGTGTTTTTTTTTACCTTAAACCGCATAAACACATTTCATGACATCAAATACACAAAATAATGTTCTTTTTAGCAGCATCATATGACCCCTTTAAGTTAAGTATCTTGATTTAAAGATGTTTATAGACATTTAAACTAGAAAACAAAGCAAAAATGCTAAGGAAGATCATATAAATTTTTTCAAGAGATGCAACATTTAACACCACGAATTTATCAATTTGAGACTTTCTGCTCCGATTTAGACTTTAAATGTGGAAAAGAGAATTTAGACCTTTAAAGACTTGCAAAAAACTCTGATGAAAATACAATCTTTAACTAAAAATGTAGTTCCAAATTCCAAAAAAAAAAAAAAATTTTGGTTATGAATAAACTTTGTCAGGTCAGTCTCATTGAAATAAACAGCCATAGTCACTTTCTGCTTAATTTTCTTTCAAACTCACCAGCCTGATGAAGCCAAAGCCTCTTTCCTTGTTGATGAAAATCTCAGAAGGTTTTCCATACTTGGAGAAGAGCTTCTCCACATCCTCCTCTGAGGTTCCAGTGGGCAGGTTCCCCACAAACAGCCTGCTCCTCTGCGTGTAGGTCTTCTCACCTGGCTTCTTGAAGTTCTGCAGGTCTATAGTGAAAGCAGCATCTGCAGGAGAGAAGGTTCAGTCAGCAACTATGGCTTTAACAAAGTCTAAGATCTGTCCCATCAGCCCTCAACTGTTGCTTACTCGGGCTGCTCTGCTCTCCAGCATCAGTGTGTTGTCCATTGCTGTCGGCTCCTGAGGGCTTCCTCTGCTGTTCCTGTTGGGGGTTGGGCTGCTGTCGGGGTGGGCCGTGATTCTGCTGCTCTGAACGGGGTCCTCGGTTTCCTTGCATCTATTAAGGCACATGAACATCAATGCAAACGTGATTTCATTGATTTTTAAAACCGAAGAAGAATAAGGCTCATTCAAAAGTGTAAACAAGGCCATGATGGATGTAGTTCTGGATGCTCTAAGGTGATTCAATGACATTACAGCAGACTTAATGAAATGCTTAATGACAAATTCTACAACACACATGAACAAGAGACACTGAAAATCAACAAATTATGAATCTCATTAGGTTATACAATAAAACAGGACAACAGAGCTTGAAAATATAAGTATATTTAGCATTGGACATGTTTTTTGAATTATACTCTTAACGAAAAAATAAGATGCATATTTAACGTCCAATGCCTTAATGAGTGTTTTAACAGATGATTTCTTTATTGGTGGGTGCAATTTGGCCTTTGCTTTCGATGAATGTTTGATTCTTCGTTATGTACGCTAACGTATGCTTTGTTCACTGTTAAGATTTCAAGCTTGAATTACGAACATTAGTGAGTGTAGCTTCGTACATGTATGTTTACATTATTAATTGTCTGATTTCTTCATTAATAATCGTGTATGGGTTAGCAAAGCGGAGCCGAGCCGGGCAAATACGCTCAACACGGCAAATGGCCCGGATTCGTCTCCAGCTCATATGCGCAAACACATTCATTCATAAATGAAAGCATTCATCATATGCATACAATACAAAAGTCATACTAACGTCTAAATACCTTTTATAAGAGTATTTAATCCGCTCCAGTAACACACGCAGCGTTGATCACAAAGAGGAGAGGGGCTGAACGCCGTACACCTCAACGTGCTGCCTGATCTAGCTGCTCATTGGCTGGCGCAGGTTTTCAGGCGTACGCTTTGACGCTTTCGATTGGTCAATTTCACGTCAATAAAATGACGTTTACGAGTTCCAAATGTTCCATTGGTTGTCGTCGTTTTTAAACCCAGTAGTTTCTTTATTGGTGGGTGCAATTTGGCCTTTGCTTTCGATGAATGTTTGATTCTTCGTTATGTACGCTAACGTATGCTTTGCTCACTGTTAAGATTTCAAGCTTGAATTACGAACATTAGTGAGTGTAGCTTAGTACATGTATGTTTACATTATTAATTGTCTGATTTCTTCATTAATAATCGTGTATGGGTTAGCAAAGCGGAGCCGAGCCGGGCAAATACGCTCAACACGGCAAATGGCCCGGATTCGTCTCCAGCTCATATGCGCAAACACATTCATTCATAAATGAAAGCATTCATCATATGCATACAATACAAAAGTCATACTAACGTCTAAATACCTTTTATAAGAGTATTTAATCCGCTCCAGTAACACACGCAGCGTTGATCACAAAGAGGAGAGGGGCTGAACGCCGTACACCTCAACGTGCTGCCTGATCTAGCTGCTCATTGGCTGGCGCAGGTTTTCAGGCGTACGCTTTGACGCTTTCGATTGGTCAATTTCACGTCAATAAAATGACGTTTACGAGTTCCAAATGTTCCATTGGTTGTCGTCGTTTTTAAACCCAGTAGGCCAAAGTTGGTTGTTGTTCGTAGGAAATGACGAAAAACACAAGTTAGTGAGCGGCGTGGATTGAGAAATGCTAAAAATGGGGAACTCCTGGAGTGGCGCCGACCAGTGTTGAACAAATGAAGCGCAATCAACAAAACCAGTGTCGATTTCAATTAAAAGAAGTAAACTAATGTCAGTGTTGGGGAAAGTTACTTTTAAAAGTAATGCATTACAATATTGCGTTACTCCATAAAAAAGTAACTAATTACGGTACTTTGTTACTTTTGCGTTACTTTTAAATTCTGGACAGGGCTTGCTTGTTTGTTTTTCTAATAAAAAAGTTATATTTTTGGCAAATATAAAAGCCTTTTCACACCAAAAGTGCATGAATAAGCCTCAGGCTGAAGGGAAAGTACATCTGCGTCCGTACAGTAGAATGCAGAAGAAGACATTTCAACACACTTCAGCAATAAACAAAGACACAAATGTTTGTCTAGAGTGATTTGTGCTTATTAGTACGGTTGAACTGGATCATCGAAGGTCAGAAGCAAAGACATTGGTTAATAGAATGGGATTAAATACATAAAGCATATTTGTGTTGTTTAACATTTAATTATTGCAGGTTTGCGTCATATTCTGAGTTGCATTATTTTTATTCATTTTGAGGAATACTGAATCTGTGTTGTTTTTTTGTGAATAAGATGAATTAATGCATATTCATATTTATTTTATTACTACAGTAACATCTGATTTCTCTCAACATGGGGACAGGAGAGCTGCCAATCAATAAATTGAAAAAAAAAAGTAACTTGCGTTACTTATTTGAAAAAGTAACTCAGATATTCTCTTGTAAATTAAAAAGTAATGCGTTACTTTACTAGTTACTTGAAAAAAGTAATCTGATTACGTAACTTGAATTACTTGTAATGCGTTACCCCCAACACTGACCAATGTACACTTTTTATCTGGTCACTCTCAGGCACCTGACCTTTATTAATTATAAGTTTATTGTTTACACAATGACAAGAACTTTAAACGTATTGGAATAAGTAACTGAAGTGAGGGATTCGGGGTTCATTTATATGAGCCCGTCAAGTTTATTTTTAGAATTGGTTTTAAAATTGTTTTGATTTTTATATATCATCATATACATTTCTGAAATATTATCTGATAGGATAGAAAGTGAGACAAACCAACCAATACCATAAAACATCAAAGAACGAGTATATCAACTAATATATCAATACATATACAAAGGGCATGAAAATGTACTGCATAACAGAAATTACCAATATAATAAATGTTTCTGATTAAGTTTCACCTGTTTCTAAAAACCAAATGGTGCAATGTGTAGTGTCACCAAAAAACTAAAATAAAAAACTCCATTCAGAGATGACAGAATGGAAAGTTTGTATATGACACAGTGTAGTCAAATAGATAAGCATGTTCAGCATGTATTTAAAATAAACCTAAACACATTCCTCCAAAGGCACGCAAGTGTACAACTGCGACAAGAAAAAAACAATTCATGTCTGCTTCGGATCCAAATTTTAAAAATAGACCATTATTCAAACTTTTCTATTTACCAAAACAGCTTACAGAAAACACGTCCAATGGGAACCAAATACAGCAGTACTATTACCACAGGTCTACTCAGCTAAACAAGTCCCTCAGTCACACAAAGCATCAATGATTTAATCAGATTTGTGAGTTTATTTCCATGCAGTATGGCCAGCTTTCTTCTGCACTTTGTGGTAAATCGAATGAGGCCAATTTGGAAGTCTGTTAATCCTATTTGGGTTTAACTCTCTTTGCTCCTTCCTTATAGTCCTCCAGGGTGAGTTTGTAGCCCCAGTGCTGCAGAGTCTGTCTGACCACCGGGGAAACACTGGGGTTGTCATAAACACAACCGGACCGGACCACTTTTGTGATGAGATTCTGCCGCCACCGACCTTTGACTCCTGCACATTTGGCCCAGCGACTGATCTGGCGTGCATCGTCCTCTGTTCGCCTGCCCTGGTAAAACCTGCTGGGAAGATGGAACAAGAATGTGTAAACTCTAGTCTTCAGTCCTCAGTGTCACATGATCCTTCAGAAATCGTTCTAATTTGTTGATTTGGTGTTTAAGAAACATCTCTTATTATCGATGTTGAAAGCAGTTATGGTGCTTAATTTTTTTTTTCTATGATCATTTTTTCTTTGATTATTAGAAAGGTCAAAAGAATATTTATTTGAACTTCAATGTCATTTTGTGCAACTTTCCTGCCACTTTTGATTAATGTAATATGTCCTCGCTAAATAAACAAATGACCTCTTTAAACCCAAACTTCTGAACAATAGTTAATAGTGAGTTGCAGCAGCTCTTGCCTGCAGTACCACTGGAACCAGCCATATGGATCCTGGGGCACAATCCAGCCACTGCTTTCCCACATATCTAGACTGCCTCCACATTTTACATTATAGGTGTTCACGTTTTCCCTGTACGTGGATGAAGCCACCTGAAATAAAACCAAATTAAAATAAAAAAAACAAAACTCTCAACGGTGTAAATCCACAAAGTTGAAATTATTTCTCAAATGCATGCATACAACAGCAGCTCCACGTTGGAACCGAATACGCTGTTTCTGTCAACTGTGAATGATTGCTGGCTTGTGGCAATCTAGGTGTTGTCAACTACAGCTTGTGGCAATCAACTATTCATTCATTTTTATCAAGTGCAAGCAAGGTCTTGTTGCTACATAAACTTTTATGATTTTTCCCTTTTGCGTGAGCGTCTCGTCACATGCTCATAGCCCTGAGCTTCAAACTAAAGGAATAAAACCACTCAAATGACCCGGTTAATCTGCTGACATAAAATGCTGCATAAAACAACATGAGGCAAATAATCCATAAAAAATAACAGTAGAGCTGTAAAACTTATATTAATAATGACCGTAAAAACAAGTACTAATACACAACAGTCAATTGAGGTCTCTACTGTGATCTACGATCAAAATGGAGAAAAACGATGAGTCAACAGCATAAATCATACACACAAAGAGAGTACATTCAGCTCTTTTATCTGCTATAGACACTTATAATGAAAATGTTTGTTAACTTTGACAAAATTGTTTAGTATTGAAATGCTATGTGATAATGCTAATGAAAGCATTAGCACATATAATGATTAGCACCTGTTTAGATATGTTTAGCCCATCCAGCCAGTCTTTGGGAATCTCCTGCCAAACATCTTTGTAATGTTGCTCTGTTTAAAAAAAAAACACTCTTGTGAATACTTTAAGATTTACAGTTGAGTGCAGAACTATTGTTAAGACATTTGAATGCATAACCAACCGCCACAGATGTGGACAGGCAGAAATGTTAAAAAAAAGAAGAAAAAAAAAAAAAGAAGTAAAGGCTTGTCCTGTGTGCCTTGCTCATGTCTGAAGGACTTGTGAAGACTTTTTAAGCAGAAAGTACAGTAAACAACTGAAACCTTTTCTGCCTGTCCTGACCCTTAAAGCTACTATTTTCTTTTTACTTGTCCAAGTGAAAATGCAGTCCTTCAAATTGGTCAAAATGTATTACAATTTTACAGTTCCATAAGCTAAAGCTGTACTCAGTGTATGCGACTTTGGGAGCGGTTACCGTCCTACAGGTCTCTATCAGCTTTGCACATCTTGCCACTACACTTTCTCCCCAATTTATCTTAGCAAAACTGCTCAAGCTCAATCAAGTTGCAGAGAGATAAGTGGACAGCTGTTTTTAAAAGAATAGCTTCAGAAATGACAATGACATCATTTGCTTATCAAGGGATCATCTGCAGTGAATGGGTGCCGTCAGAATGAGAGCCAAACAGCTGATAAAAGCATCACAATAATCCACAAGTAATCCACACCACTCCAGTCCATTAATTAACATCTGGTGAAGTGAAAAAAGTAACATGTAAGAAACAAATCCATCATTAAGGTGTTTTAAATTTAAACCGTTGGCCATTATTCATAGTAATGTTTTCTCCACTGAAAATGCCCATCCCCTGTTGTCCTCTCACATCAAAATCCACCAACATATTCGTTTACACAGTAACAGTGTTGGAATGTTTTTGCTTGTAAACTGTGCTTGATCTGTGGACTTAGACAAGACAACTTTTTCACTGGAGATAGCAATATTATGAATGGAATATTTATATTTCAGCCAGAAGCAATGATCTGAAGTTTAAAAAAAATGTCCTGTTGAAGGATACATTTATTACAAGCATGCAGCTTTTGCTTTCCAAGATGCTAAATGATGGACTGAAGTCATGTGGACTTCTTGTGGATTATTGTGGGGCTTTTATCAGCTGTTTGGGCTAATTCTGACGGCACCCATTCACTGCAGAGGATCCAGTGGAGAATAAGTGATGTAATGCTAAAATTCTCCAATCTGTTCCAATGAAGAAGTAAACTCATCTACATCTTGGACGTCCTGAGGGTGAGTACATTTTCAACAAATTTTCATTTTGGGATGAGCTATTTCTTTAAGTCTACCCTTAATTCCTCAACTAAGATTTAGAGTCTGGCTTTGCCACTCAGGACCATTAACGTTCAATGTTTTTAACCCATTCTTGTGTAGCTTTAGATTTATGTCTTTTGATTTATGGTCACTGTGTTCATGTAAAATAAATCTTCTCCCACATCACATAATTTTTGTCTCTGTAGTTTGCTGCATTTATTTTACCCTCTACCTTCATAAGGGCCAGTTGAAGCGAAACAGCCACATAGCATAATGTTCCTAGTGCCATACCTCGAAGGATTCGCAGTTATTGGCTTACACCAAACATGTGGTTTAATCTGATTGCCAAAAGGCTCAATTTTGGTCTCATCAGACCATAGTTTCTAACATGCCTTCTGGCAAATCGTAGATGTCTTATAACATTTTAACAGTGGCTTTCTCACACAGAAGTAACTGGTGAAGCGTCCAGACAGCATTTGTTTGTTGCAGCCAATTTCAGTCATTAGAGCATGTAACATCTTCAGAGTTGTTTCCTCTCACAATACTGACCCACCATACAATAGATCTTAATTAACTATTTATGTGACTTTGAAAACCAATTGGCTGTAACTTTTAGGTGACTTAGATAAAGTCCACTCTGTAAATGGGCATAACATTGAAAATGCTGTAAAAAGAAAAAAGAAAAAAGAAAAGCAATTTCAATTAAACAAATGTTCTTTCAATATTTAACAAAGCATTTAAAGTCTCCATTGTGCAATAATTAAAGCTAACAACTGATCACAGTGAGACATACTTGTGATACTGGAGTAGATGGGCCTAAAATAGGTACCCCCAAAACTGCCGGCCTGTAAAACCTCTTTAGGAGACATGTTAGGTGTGAACTCTGGGTGGTCTGCAACAACAGAAAAACGATAAATTAGTGAATGAATAAATCATAACCCTAAACCACAAAACATACTTAACTTCACCTTTAAACACAAGTTGTCCTTTCTCATTCCTCTTTATTTCAGAGGTATTTTTGCCGCCATCTGAGTCGTTTTTCTTATCCTCAGACCAGTCTGTTGAGTGGGCAGATTTATTTTTTTTCCCTTTGTCCTTGTCTTTGCTAGAAAGCGTCACTTTAGTTTTTGTAGAGTCAGCTTTACCAATGAGAGCTGCGGATCAGAGAAAAACACATTACAAAACACAATCTCTAAATAATCTGGCTAGCTTAAAAAGCCTTCATCTCTGAAACATAAATATAAAATGCATAAATTATGATAAGGAAAAGTGCAAAATAACAACTGTCTGTCTGTCAAGAACATACATTAATATATATTAACTTATATATATATATAAATTATATTTTCTTCTGCAAATGTGGATAAGAAAATAATGTGTTGGATGAGAAAAAAATGCAGAGTAAAATAATAATAATATTACGCATGAGATCATATAATGTTCAAACTAACACTGTCCAAAATTTAGTGGGTAAAGTTTCAAAAAGCAAGGAAGTGTTACTTTTGACTCCACTGAGCTCAGGTGTTCACATGTCCTAAAACTGAGGCTGCATCCGAAATCGCATACTCTCTTGAGTAGGCACTTTTTTGAATAAGTAATTACTTTGCAACCACAAAAAGAGTATGCTCTAGTCCAGGGATCCTCAAATCTGGCCCACAAGATCCACTTTCCTGCAGAGTTTAGCTCTAACCCTAATCAAACACACCTGAGCATGCTAATCAATGTCTTCAGGATCATTAGAAAATCACAGGTAGCTGAGTTTGATCAGGGATCAGCGCATTGGACCTCCAGGGCAAGATTTGAGGAACCCTGCTCTAGTCTATATAGTATGAACGTGTCTAGTATGAATGTCATCTACTGCATTCGCCATCGTCACGTGACTTACCAACATCAGTTTTTATCAGTACTGTGAATTCAGGCATACTTCTTTTGTCACATACTGCTTTTCACCTACCATATAGTAGGGTAGTATGCGAGTTTGGATGCAGCCTTGTCATGTGATTGGTGCAAACGCTTCTACTGCACTGATTGGCTCTCCTCGTCATTATGATTGGCTGATTACCCTGTCAACACAATAATGCTTGCCTCTCATGCATACTGTCTAATTATAAAACTTAAACAACATTTACTAGTAACAGAAAAACTACAATAAATATTTGTTATTTTATTTTTTATTCTAGTTAATGAAATGAAAAAAGTTGAAACGGTATGGCGTAATACGATTTTGATTTAGTTTTAATAAAGACTATGGCAGTATAGTATATACTATAGTATAGTATAGTATAGAATATAATAATATGCTTGTTGATAAAGTGAAGCAAATGTGAAAGAGATGTGAAAACGTAGTACATAAAGGTTCACCAACGCTGATGCCACTAAGATAGATAGATAGATAGATAGATAGATAGATAGATAGATAGAGCCAGATGATAGATAGATAGAGCCAGATGATAGATAGATAGAGCCAGATGATAGATAGATAGAGCCAGATGATAGATAGATAGATAGATAGATAGATAGATAGATTCTGATTTCTTCACTGCGACGCTCTTTTCTTCGTTCTTGTCTTTTATTTTCTGTCTCTTCTTCCCAGGCGCCTTTAAATCATCCGGACCTGTTTTTCTTTTCATCTTCCTGCTGTCTCTTTCATTATCGTCACTCATGTTTGAATGACTTTTGTAACTTAAGGAAATGTGTTTAATGAGAAATAGGTTATAGACACAAGGACACTTGGCTAAGAAACTGAGCAAAGAGTTTACTAATAAACTACATAAACTGCTCGTTGAGATTGAGAACCGCCGATTCCGCCTTTATGCAACACGTTGTAGTGCGCATGTGCGCACAGGACAGCCGCGTGCCTGTCTGGTTTTTTAACGAATCAAGACAACTTAATAAAACGAGTCAATGCAATTGTTTCTTAATTAATATGAACCTACCGAATCTTAGTTTATCCTTTAGAAAGAGTATGCACTAGTTTTCCCAACGAGACCTTAGCTAGAATTCAGTCAATAGTTTGCAAAGCTGTTTGCAAATAGTTTTGCATCCACGTGCATGTTTCTTCTATAAAAGGTTTTGTCAATTTATGATAATTCATTTTGCAGATATACTTTGATATTCAGATTTCAACATTTTATTTTAATTGCAGCATTTTGATATTAATGTCATGAAAGTTTGTATTCTGTAGGATATGTTATGGCATTATTATGATAACCCTCCAGATAATTGTTCGATTTATTGTTTAACTCTTAATGATTACATTTCAAAGCCTTTTGCAGATTCTACAGTGCAAAAGATTCAACAGCAGAACAGTATCTATCTGTCTATCTATCTATTTTTCACAGGTTGGAGGTCTTCGTTTTCTTTTGCTTTGTAACTACAACATCTCTAAACTTCTGTTAAAGTTATCCAATTTTCACAAACAAATGCTTCTCTCCTGGAATTTAATTTATAAACACAATGTCTCACCTAATAGATGTTTTATATGGAATAATAAGCATATTTTATATAAATCTAAAACACTGTTTTTTGAAAATTGGTTTTCTAATGATATAGTTTTGGTGACCCAACTCTTCAACCAAGAAGGACTTCTGTTAAATTATTCTGAATTTTTGTCAAAATTTAAAATCCCAATCATTCCTAAAGAATATGCTGTAGTTATGGTGGAGTTGTCCTTACTCAGTCAAATTTCTGCTCATTTGTTAGAGATCATATCATGCCCAGCTTTCAACTTTGTTTAGAAAATGTTTTATTTGTTTATTTTCACTTACGACATGTCGTAAGGAATATTATTTGATTAATTTATTACTTTTGCTGGCAAAGTTTAGTATACATAAATGCAAGTACGGCAAATATAAACCATTGTTTCTCATTTTGAAATCAGAAGTTAAACAATACCTCAAATCCATTTACAAGTTGATAAACAAGAAAGGTGTTAAGTGTATTAATGTACGTAAACATTTCCATGTTTTTGTGTAATTTATTTATTTTTTCTTTTCTCTTTATTTCATTGTAACTTTGTATCTCTTTTTCTTTGTGTTCACCCACTGGCTACTGTAAAGTGTTGAATTTGAGTGATTCAATACAAAAAAAAAGTTAGACAGAAAGAGTTAGACAGAAATGTATGGCATAGAATTGTAAACAAGACATGAGACACCTACAGGCATGAGCTCTAGTTGTTTATGATGCCTGTCCTCTGCTTCACTGCCTTTTTTGCATTATAAAATAACTGCATAACTTAATTTTCCCAGAAGGCACTGCAGTGATTGGTATAAGAGGCTATAGCCTCTCTCGACCGTTTCCCATTGTAGCATTGTTACACCAGTGTGAATGTAAATATGCATGAGACTGAATGTGGATGATTATTTTGAGCTACAGATTGTTTTCTGTTCAGCTGTTCCAGCTCTCATGTCAGGATGCCACTGTTTATACGTGGCCTGCCATTGTTCATCAGCTTGACTGCTGCAGCCTCCCAAACATCTGTACATTTGTTTTAAATTAACACATAGCAATGAGACTATTAACACCATGCAGCAGCAAGTGTGTGTATTTGTGTGGGTGGCTGGTTAATGCGATTCAGGGTTAATTACTTATGTGAAGCAGAAAATATTATTTTATAGCCTATAGGACATCAATAAAAATCCTATTAGACGTATCATTTAAATATTTTCTGACTTAAATTGATCTTAAAATCTAATTTCAATATTTAACTAAATATTTTTTATTTCGTCAAACTATCGAATGAATTCTGTAAAAATGTATCCAATTGAATTGAATGTGAAATTAAATAATATGCTATATAAATATAAATATCTAGTAATTTTGTGCACAGAGGTTTGGCGTCGCTAACCAAAAGTGGGCTTTTCAGACAACCTCTTTAAAATAAAAATAAGCGATTTATTTTAACCGTGGTAAGTAAAACTATAAGGTGCTGTATATAACTCTGAATATAAGTATGCGCTCCGGTTGCATACTGTTGCTATGGTTACCTCTATAAGCCATCGCGAGTTCGCTTCGCTAACTTTTCTGCTTACCCCCAAAAATTAAAATGTATACTATATTAATATACATATTTATAATATGTGTATGTAGCCTATATTATCAAAATATATACATATAAAATAATAATAATAATAATTTATGCATTTAGCAGACGCTTATCCAAAGCGACTTACACAGTGCATTCAGGCTATACTTTTTTTTTTTACCAGTATGTAAAATAATAAACCTCCACACTCAGTTCTAACGGTTCGCAGAGGTGGTGGACTAGATTGAATCCCATTCTCGTTACGCTAATTGCGGCTCGGTTTGGAGAGCGCTGGAACGGAGACCGAGAGGCTACGGCGCCGGGGATGCGACGCAGACTGCCGCTGATGTGTCTGGCGTCTGAGCAACAGCCCGGAGTGTTGGTGGACTAGATTGAATCCCATTCTCGTTACGCTAATTGCGGCTCGGTTTGGAGTGCGCTGGAACGGAGACCGAGAGGCTACGGCGCCGGGGATGCGACGCAGACTGCCGCTGATGTGTCTGGCGTCTGAGCAACAGCCCGGAGTGTGTGTGAGAGTCACTGTGATCCGAGGTGACAATCCAGATAACTGTGGGGCTGACAGTGCGCCGACTACCAGACATGCATTTGAATTGAATGGGAGCTACTGGGAGATCATTCTGTGACAGTTACCGTGCTATGGAAGTTATGTAAAAACGGCTTTTATACAGCATTCGATTTTTAGGTGCTCAGTGACATTTTATAAGTGGAATGGATTGGTTATATTTTCTGGAGGGTGAATACCGGTTCGTTCCAACTTTGCCTTTTTTCCTCGAAGAGTGGTTCAAAGGAGAAACTTTAATGTGGCTTTACGCGTTTGCCTAAGAATGGAGTTGATGAAGGCGAACTTAAGCTGTCTGGATAGTTTATCCCGGGGAAACAACTGCCTCCCCTCCAGGAGCTCGTCTCCCGGGGTAGCGGCCACCCTCGCCGGCGTGCTGATCTTCACCACCGTGGCTGATATCGTTGGAAATCTGCTGGTCATCCTGTCTGTGTACAGGAACAAGAAACTCAGGAATGCAGGTGTGAAGAGATACAGAAACTGTAATGTCAGGCAAACATCACACATCTTCAGATGAGATGAAATTTTTAGATGAGAAATTAAAAATGTGTGGAGTATGCATCTGTAAAAGCGTCTAAACGTATTTAAGTTGAAGCAGCATTGGATATTTATGTTGGCTCAAGTTGTTCCCAGCTGCTGGTGTCAGTTTGGCATGAATCATATTTTATTTCAGTTGATATGGTTTTTAACACTATAGGAAACAGAAGGTGCATTGAATTTATTTTCATGTTATAGCTATCAAAACACCGGCCACATGCTTTTCTCTGTGTGTACAATGTTTTGATGCACCCTTTTCTCCAGAATTACATAAGAGACACCAGCAAAACATGGCTGTCTTTTTAATGTTGTGCAACAACACAAGATTTTGAATGACATAGTCACTTTTTTTGATGTGCAAAGAAGTGTCAGGAGAATGTAACCCAAGGCACGATCACTTCAACAGAAGCACGTCATCAAAAAAACCTCATTTTACAAGGCTTCGTTTTATACTTCAGGCAGTGCGATGAACAAACAATTACTAGATATGTGAGACTGTTATAGGGCTGCAGGAACATAAGCAGACACAGTCTCTCCAATGCTCACACATACAGAGATGTTCAAAAATCTGAGACCTTTAGTGAAAATTTTCCTGTATTGCTTTTTCTAATTTAATAGATTTTTATTGCAAATAATATATTCAGCATAATAGTTCAACTGAAAGGCATAATGAATTTGAGAATTGCTTGGAATTTGCACTCCACAAGTTTGTGTAAAACCTGATGATCTACGTTAACCAGCTTGAAAATATTACAAAGAGCATCAGTGCTTCAGTGGTGGAAAATCTGACCTTTTTTGCAGCGGAGTTCACATGGTCAATGTCCCAAATTTGATTATTTGACTAGAAACAGTACAGAATCATTCTTATTCATTTACAACATAACAAAATACTGAAACGTTTTGGCCAATTAGATTTCCTAGATTGTCAGTGCCTTGTCAGACTTTCTGACCGTTGTATTTCTGTTAAAGGAGCCATTTCTTTGCATGTAATCTTATACAGGTGAGAGCGAGAGAGCGGAGCTCTGCCTGCGAGGGGTAGATATCTCTATCGATTTCACTGCTATGATATCAGGGTTATTTTCACGTGATTACGCTGTACTAGGTACGAGAATGACCATGATCTGAGCTGGGCAGACAGAAACCCAAAAGATTCCATCAGAGCTGAAGTGCCGTCATCAGACACAAAAGGTTCTTTATTGGCATCTATGGTTCCATGAAAAACCTTTAAAGGTCCCATATTGTCAAAACTGAAATTTCCTGGCTTTTTTCACGATAACTGAGGTCTAGGGGCTATTTAACTTCCATATAAGTTTCAAAACAGTCAGTCCACAGTAAACTGCACACAGCCTGCATAAAGTAGCTGTGATTTTTCACAAACCGTTGTGACTTCCGTAAAAAGTTGACGTCAGAACTACACAGTCACCGCCTTCAGTCACCACACCGAGCACCGCCCACCATCCCACTCTCCTTTTGCCAAACCCCCCAGACAACATCGCGTCCATGCTATTGCTGAGCAACAACAACACGGAAACATGTCGAAAATGTTAACTTTAACCACAAAACCAGATCGGCCGACCTGTAATGTTACACTCTCATTCAAAGGATGGACGATCTGACAGGATTGTTACTGTGAGGTTGATCACATCTAACGTATATAGTAAGACAAACTCACCGTGTCTATCTAGTC